GAAGGCGAGAACAAAAAATTACATTAAAATATTCTCATTACTGCTGAAGAATTTTGAACATTTAAATAACTTATATTTCAAAGAAACGTAAGTATTTAGACTAAACAATAATAGATATACTAAATACAACAACTTGTAGAATGTAAGGAAAATGAAACTTGAAGATAAATCTATTTGCATAAAAGCTTATTACTTGAGAGAAAAGCCTAAAATTAATGAACTAAATCTCTAACTGCAAAAAAAAAAAAAATCCAAGTTAGGAAAATAACAGAACCCCTTCACAAAGTAGAAGAAAGCTGATAATAATGAAGTCTAACAGAAATCAGTGAAATAGAAAAATAAGATACAGTGGAGAAGATTAACAAAGATAAATGTTTATTCATTAATAATAAATGAACAAACTTCTAAGATTAAGAACAAAATAAAACAACACAAATAGTGAACACACAGAATGTAAAGGAGACAGAATTATAGCCCAAACTAATTAGAAAAGAAAATGAGACTGCTATCAAAACATTATACCATTAAAATTACAAATTTAAATGAAATGAGCAATTTCCTAGAAAATATACAACTTCCTATAACTGAATAAGAAGAAACAAAACCCTCAATAGTTCTTTAAGTATGAAAGGAAGTTAATCAGTAAAATTTCTTCCTGTAGAGAAAAATCTAAGCCCAAATAGTTTACAGGATAGTCTACCAAATGTTCAAGTAAAACACTGTTCCAAACTTACACAGACTCCTAGAGATCAGAGACAGGGAATAATCCAGAGTGTTCATTGAGGCCTGTGTAATCTTAAGTATAAGAACAAACAAGATGTGTGGGAGAAAGGAAAATCACATGCCCGTCTCCCTTATGAATATAGATCTGTAAGTTCTAATTGAAATATTAGCAGAACTCAATTCAACTGTGTATAAAAAGGTAACATGTATATGTGGGGCAGACTGGAAGAAGGTGATGAGGGAAATTTATCCCATGAATGCAGGAGTTGTTCATCATTTTAAAAATTTCTAAAAATGTCATTCATTTATCACATTAAAAGTGAAAACCTTTATGATCATCTTAGTAGGTGCAGACATCTAGTAAAGGTCAGTAACATTCATGATTAGAAAGAATACTCTTAGCAAATTAGGAATAGAAGAGAATTTTGAACTATTTTAATTTAAAAAACAGTATGTATAGAAAACCTGCAGCTTTATTTATAAAACTCATAAACAAGCAATCTGAACAACATATTGCTTTGGCATATATACATATTTGAGATAAAATAATTTGTTAAGGAAACAGGAGACTGATAAACACCAAGTGCAGCCGGGTGGTTTATTTATTTATTTACATATACTATTTTTTTAAGTAAGTGAGCTTAGGATAGTAAAGACGTTCGTGTAGCCTCTTAAAACCTGAGTTAAAAACAATTTGACTGTCAAAAAGAAATACAGATTTTATCCTCCGTCAAAATTCATTTTGTTACTTTCCTTAGCAGCCTAGATGTAAGACTGAGGAAGGAGACCAGTGTGTTAACCCAGTGTTACGTATCTTTAACTCCAGTGCAGCAGGTAGATCAGGAGTTAAGTGAAGGTGTTGGCAAGAGTGGTTGAAACATGGAATTGTGAGATCCCAGATGGATGCAAAAGGAAGTGAATTTTTAAGCAGAAGAGGAAAGAGAGCAGCAAGGATAGGAGATCATGATCTGAGAGTAGACTTAAAGCATGAAGATTTGTGAAATGAAGCTACATATGGCCATTGGATTTATTTGCTGAAGTGAGGGAGATTTGAAGATCTTTCAAGTTAACTGGTCAAAGAATTGTGCGCTGCTGTGATCAGTGTTTTCCATGTGGGTAATGGGGTCATTCAGAATGGTGGCAAGAGTCATAGAAAGATACTTTCTCCTCTTGTAAATAAAACAGCATAGATCAGTTGGCAGAACTCATAAGTGCCCAAGATAGGGGAACAGACTTTGGAAAACTGATACAATTTCTTTGGTGTGTCTGAGGACAGGAGTCTTTTGTTACAAAGCCTCCACCCCCACCGCCATGCCTCTTTGCTTTGCTAATCCACTGCTTTGCTCCTGGGAATGATATGTATTAACCAGCCAGACCATGTGCCCTTCCCTTCCTGCTGTCTCCTGTTAATCTATTTAAGTTTTGTGATCTGCACTAATTGGCACATATTAGATTTCTTCCTGGCTTTCTTCAGCCTTCAGCATGCACTAGACAAAGCCATTGAACGGAATATTCTAATATCACATCTCTTCTCTCTTTTGAAGCTTCTCTACAAAATGTAGGTTGATAATATGATCAAAAATTAATAATTAAAGTTTACATGATTTTCTTTTTGAGCTTATTTTAATTTTCCATTTCCCTCAGTGATTAAGACTGTATGCCCTCCAACATCATTTACAGAGGAGTTTTTATCTTTTTTCCTAAGTATCGTCATGCCTAACAGATTTCCATAACCTTTGTATTCTTTTAATAATTGGTGTTGTGGTTAACTTTTAGATGGAAAACTAGACAACTTTCCCATTAGAATGTGCCTATGTCCCCCTCAAGAGATTGGAGAGATTACTGCTCCATGCTTCTAGGAAATATCTGCACCTATCCTGCTGCTATGTAAGATTTTACTGGTGCTGCTGTCATACTGTCAGAACCATTCCCACTGGTCCTAGAGTGACAGAGTAGTTATTTAACCTAAATCTCATCAAGGAGTGGGTAAATCTATGTCCGAGCAGACATGGATTTTAGACAGATTTCTACTGAGAACTATCGTGAATTCAGTGTTGCTCAGTATTTACATTACTACCCTAAAATAAAGGAACCATTCACCTGTCGGTTTTTATGGAAGATGCCACAAAGATATTGCAAGTAATTTGGTGGAAAGATGAAAACTTCATGTTTTGTAATTCAACCTTGATATTAGAAAGAACAAATAAATCCAATATAGTCACGCTTACCTCAAAGACATATGTAGGCTTTAAAAATTATATTTAAACAATAAATTAGAAATATCAGAATATATAATGATATTTTGTTTCTTCTGCTTATATTTATGTGTCAGTAAAGAAGAAAGTTTGCCACAGTTAGACATGATATAGTGAAGAATATAGAAGGAATTACTAGGACTCAGTATTTAGTAAGTACAGAAATTAAAACAAAGTTAAATCTATTCCCATCTGATTTATATTTATGAAAACTTGAGCAAAAAAAGTTGATATATTTCATTAATGAGCAGGGAAAATAAGTAATGCTGTTATTGAAATAGTACTTCTGATTAAAATCCCCAGAAAGAAAAACTGTACAATGAAGGAATATGAGGATTAGAATGAAATTTAAAAAGGACATAGATAAAGGAACTGAAACTACTTCTTAAGCTTCCCCTTTAAGGAAAGCCCGGAAAGACTTGAGGGTAGCTTTTTAAATATTATTTGTGTGTGTGTGTGTGTGTGTGTTTTAACATACAGTAATTACTTTTTGCCAAAAAAAAAAATTGAGGAAGACTAAAAAAGGTCAAATCATTGTTTTTAATTGACACAGTGAAAAACAAAATGATATTAATTGTTATAATCAATATTATCTTCCCCTCCTCTTCCTCCTCTTCCTCCTCCTCTATCTCCTCCATCATCATCATCATCATGTGGCTTAAACCAGTAATCAGTTTTTTTCTTTCTCATGATTCTCATTGCCTGGGCTCAGCTAAGCAGTTCTCTCTAGCTCCATGTGGAGCTGTCTGGGTCTGCAGTGTCCTGAATGTGACTTACTTTGGGCTGAGACCTCATCTAGGCCTGAGAGCCCGAGCACCTCTGTGCTCTTCAACGTGCTCCATGTCATGTAGGCTTCTCTCAGTGGAGCAACAGAGTCCAGAAGAGAGTTCAAAAAATATCAAAAGCTGCCTGGCATCTTAGTCCTAGCCTCAGGAGTCGCATAGCATCACTTCTGCTGTATTCTGTGGCTCACAGGAAGTCACGGGGCAAGCCCAGATCAACAAGGAGTAGCAAAAGTCTCCATTTTTTAATGACAAAGTCACACGGCAAAAGAGAGCATGTGGGATGAGAAATGTTGTTGCAGCCATCTTTGGAAGTAATCTCTGCCACGTGTTACAAAAGAAGTTAGAAGAAGCTCCCTGTGTGTACATGTGAAAAGATATCCAAGATACATTGCTATGTGAGAAAAGCTGGGTAAAAAACAGACTGTATAACGTACTACTAATTATCAGTGTTAGGAAGTGAGGGAAAAGAATATATTTGTATTTTATTTGTATATTTTAGAAGTCTCTGAAACACACCCAGGCATAACAGTGGGTATCTGTTGAGGTTGAAAATTTGGCGACTAGAGGTCATAGTGAGAGGCTTTTCACTGTAAATGTTACTACACATTTTAAAACTAATTCGAATCTTCTCAAAAAGTAACTTCTGTAGTTAAAAAATTCGGTTCTATGGTTGAACTTTAACTGTAGTTCCATATTAGAATTTGGAATCTCAGCATTTAAAAGAATTTAGATGTCATTTAGTCCTATCATTCTGCATTATTTAAAGTAAGAATCTACATGGTTTATCTGAAATTCAAATTTAACTGGGTATCCTATATTTTTAAAAATTTTATTAAGGTACAATGTAAAAAAAAAAATAAAGTAAGAATCTATTGATTTCCTAAAGTGTGGTCATTGAACTTATCTGTGAAAAATTACCTCTAAGATAGTGAGTTCTGTTGCATAACCATTTTAAAACACTCCAACCAGAATTTTTTATTTTTAAGTAACCTATCTTAATTGAATTAACTGAGTTGCTGATTCACAAGACATACTATTCAACAGAGGAATTGATACAACAGTTTTATGACATCTTTCTATATTTCACATTTTATTGAATCATAATTTAAAATATATTAATTTTATATCTAGCTTTATCTAAAACATATATATTTGAAATATTGCAATCTGATTATTGAAAAAAATTGGACTAACCAAAGCTATTAAGAATAATATTTCTAAAGGTATTTTTCTTTTTAGATTACTGTGCCATGCTATGAAGGACCATATAGTTCGTGTTGCAAATGAAGCTGAGTTTATTTTGAACAGACAGAGAGCCGAAGATGTACATAAACATGCAGAGTTTGAGGTAAGGTTTTGGGAGTACACTAAATTCTGCATTTCTGTTATAAGCCAAAAATCACCTATCTGTGACCTTACATAAGAATGTTTTTTAAAAGGAAAATTTCACTGAAGGCATTTCTGTTCCTGTTTTTTAAAAGCTTTAGTAAATGTCAAACACAGAGTACTAATTTATTTTCACCCCATTTACAGCATGAAAACATTCCTTCTGCCCTGTATGTGCCTAACCATTTGGTAGACTGAAGTTATTCTAACCTACTCAAGAGTAAATGCAAAAAATAATTTACAATGCAACAATTTTAGTTATTTTAAGCTAGCAGATATTTACACACCAATAGGTCGATATGAGTATATGATACAGTTATATGAATAAACTCATATAACATTCAAAAAAATCTTTCAATTTCTATGTTTTATGTATAACAGTTATTAATTATTTCAGTTTATTCCATTTACAAGACAAAATAGGTTCCAGAAATATTTATGCGCCCTGGTGTTTGGCTTACGTTGGGCTTGAAAGTAATAAATGACCCACCAATTTATTCTCCTGATACAACAGGCTAACAAGTATGGTGTAGCTAGAAATCAGAGCCCACAATTCTAGTTTTGATGAGGTTTTTATCTCAGTAAAGCAGCTCTGTGAGTCATACACGTTGATAGACTGTGTCTAGTGATCTCTGACCTAGCTAGCTGAAAAGCATGAGACAGGAAAATAGCCGCTGTTGCTTTCAAACACACGACCTCTGCTTCATTCGGTCAGAAGAGGCACGAGACAAGCAGGCACTTGTCTTGTGAAATTGCAACAACCATATTCTGGAAAAGATACCAGATATTTTAAACTTCAATAAAAGTATAGTGATCTTTAAGTGTCTATCAAAGTGAAGTTTCGTAGTAGTAAATAAGATTTGGAATCTCAACTGAATTCCCTGCAGGATCAGTTTTGAGTCTCTGTACTTCCACTAAGAAAATCAAGATATTTTGTGGGGATATAAGCAGATCAATATTTGTTATGTGGAAACATTTAAAGTAGGTTTTCAAGTGGTTGGATATTAGTTATGGGCTTTAACACATGTTTAACCAAGGTGACATTAGGCCAAGGGCAGTTTCTCAACCGTTTTTGTTGTTGTTATTGATTCCCTAAGGAGTCCTTTTAGACATTTTGCCTAATTGGCCAGTCATCCCAAAGAAATTTTATAATACCACCCATAGGCTGCGCATCTGTTTTTGTACTTACGTACATTTGTGCTTTATGTACTGAAATAACAATATTTGTATCCCCCACGCAACACACACCAATTTTTCACTCTTAGGAATGAGATTACCCTCATTGTGGGTCAACTCCCAAGGTGATAAGAGGTTTCCGAGGAGACATGAAGACTTAGTGTTTTTTAGATTTTATATACATAAAATATAATATTAATGTAAATCTAATTTTGATTGTATGCCAATGTTATTTGATGATTGTACCTTATTTTTTTAACCTGAATGTTTCTATCTCTTCTTTTTGGGTTAGAGCTGTTGATGTGTGTGCGTGGTTTACACAAAGATATCCCTTTTAAATTGTAAAAGATTTTACAAGTCAGGACATTTTGCTAGAACTTTTTGAGGAATTTTTCTATCCCACATATCAGCCTATAATTAGGAAGAAAAGTATATTTGATTTTAGATGGGTACTTCACAGTTAAGTTTTTTTAGTTAGCTACTGTAATTGTTAAGGAAGAAAAATGAAAATTTAATTTTACTCTCCAGTGAACTAATGAAATATTAAGCTCATTACTGAGGCAGATCATTGTACTAATTGGTGATTCCCTGTACAAAAAGATAAATTGGAAAATGAATTAATCCTTCTTAGATTACTGTAGGGTTATTTCTCCAGAAGAGATTACTTGTGGTAGTAGTGTATATCAATAGATAATGGGAGGAATATGTTCAAGTGCCTTCCATGAAATAGATTTTTGCATAGTAATGATGAATGTGAACTAGTTCTATTTATTTTATCAGATATATGAGACTTTTTTCTTCCTAGTTATATTACTTGTATTACAAGTTTATTAATGTTAAAAGTTATAGTCACACTACTCTGCGTTTATTGTAGTTTTCTTTATAAAAACTACAATAAAAAGAACCAAATTTACAATTAAAGAAATGTTCCTCTTCATATTTACATAAAATATTTTTAATACAAAAAATGATCCATTGATCAACAGTGTTGCTAACAAATGTAAGAATGAATACACGTCAGATAGCTGACATGATAACTGATAATTATGGGAAAAGGGAGGTAAGAATAAGGTAGTAGTTCTCATGAAACTGTTTGAACATATTACATTTTAAGAATGTGGAGAGATCGTAGAAAAAATCTTGTCTCAGCTCCTCATTTACAAATATGAAACTGAGTAAATTAAAATATATGGAGTTTGTGTATTTTGTGAATTAAAATCCAGGTCTACTGAATTCCTAAATGACTACCTTTTCTTCTATCTCACATTACCATTCATGAAATGGAAAACTATAAATTAAGTGACAGATTTTTGATTCATATGTAATTATCAGCAACATGCCTCTTATTTTAAGTGAGATATACTGTATTGGCTTGATAAACAAGTAGGTTTACATTTATAGTAAATATTTGTGCTTCTAAAATACATAAAAATTAGATTCTCAGAATTAGAAGAAACCAGAAGTCTTTAATTACTTCAATATTATTCAAATTATTTTACATATACTTTAGAAAGAGCACTTTTTATATTTGAAAGGTGACAATATTTATTCTTTAGAACAAAATATCAAAAGATTGCATTATTTGAGTTTTTAAAAATTGAATTCCTGTTACCCTTTAACTTAGATGTATATATCATCCTAACTTATACACAGTAAAAATTTATTATTGTGCATCGTTTGTATTTCTTTATAGTCACAGTGTGCCCAGTATGCTGCTGATAGAAGAGAGGAAGAAAAGATGTGTGACCATCTGATCAGTGCTGCGAAACATCGAGACCACGTAACAGCAAATCAGCTGAAACAGAAGATTCTCAATATTCTCACAAATAAACATGGTGCTTGGGGAGCAGTTTCTCATAGGTGAGTTGTAATAAATTAGAGTAAATAACAATTCATAGGTTAATTATAATAGTTGGTAATAAAAAATGGCTACAAATTTAAAAGTCATTTAAAAATATACTTTAAAATATAAAAAAAATTAATTGAAATTTTTCCTGAAATCTTTAATAATTCTTCATCAGAAGAGTTTAAGGGAAAATCTAAACTTTTTACAGTAGCTACAATGGAAGTTATGTCTACTTTATAATAATATGCAACATAATACAAAATACGGTTAGGCAAGTATTTTAGTCTACTGTCTCTCATATGTAACGCGGGTGTTTAGGTATAAGAAGTGACTCTTTTTAAAAAAGAATCTTTTAGAGTCAACTCTTCCTATTTATTAAAGTTGTATCATTCTTTTTTATGCAGAAGCATATATAAGCATATACTACAGACAAGTAATATGTTCTTTTAAAAAGTTTTCTTTCATTATTTTCTATTCAGTCTTACCAAGGGAAGATTTTCATCTCAAATATGATTGTTTATGATAATGTAGTACAACTAAAACTAAAATTTGGTTGTTTATAAATCACAAATGTTCCCCCTAAAGTTTTGTGGACATACAATTATTTTTGTTGTTCTTGTTGTTGTTATCTGTACAATGAAGTTTTCTGGAAAACTAGTAGTGAAACAGGTCAGTATATTTAGATTGCTGATGTTCTTCCTTTTATATTTTTATTTTATTTGACCCCACTAAATGTTTCTATTAAATCTCTGTTTGGCAGAGTTTATTAAATCTCTGTTTGACAGAGTTGGCTGGTGAAATGTAAGCAGGACACTACTAAGAAGAGCCTTGGTAAAAATGATTCTGTTTACCAGGTGCGGTGGCTCACGCCTGTAATCCCAGCACTTTGGGAGGCGGAGGCGGGTGGATCACCTGAGGTCAGGAGTTTGACACCAACCTGGCCAACATGGTGAAACTCCGTCTCTACTAATTTACAAAAATTAGCCAGGCGTGGTGGTGGGCGCCTGTAATCCTAGCTACTCAGGAGGCTGAAGCACAAGAATTGCTTGAACTCAGGAGGCGGAGGTTGCAGTGAGCCAAGATTGTGCCACTGAACTCCAGCCTGGGTGACAGAGTGAGACTTTGTCTCAAAAAAAAAACTGTTAGAGAAAAACACCTAGAATATGAGTAGGATGGTATTTAACCAACTTCCTGGGATTATGAGTGTAAGATAGATTTTTTAAAACTTTATTATTTTTGGATTTAAGGTAAAATTATCACATATGTCTTTAAAATAGTCAACACTTAATATTTATCATAATAATAGCAATAACCCATGACCTCTAACATTTATTATTTGTTATGTGCTAGGTACCATACTAAGAACTTTGCATGGATTATTTCCTTTATCCTTGAATATCTTTATTAAGGGTGACATTGAGGTGTTCTCCATTTTACCAGGAAAAACCTGAAGCTGAAAGACGTTAAATAAAACTTACATAGTATCACACTGCTTGTACAAATAGAGGCAGATTGTATCAGTCAGGATGCTCCAGAGATATTTATATTCATTAAATAAATTTATTTATTTATTTATTTATTTATTATTATTATACTTTAAGTTCTAGGGTACATGTGCATAACATGCAGGTTTGTTACATATGTATACTTGTGCCATGTTGGTGTGCTGCACCCATCAACTCGTCAGCACCCATCAACTCATCATTTACATCCGGTATAACTCTCAGTGCAATCCCTCCCCCCTCCCCGCTCCCCATGATAGGCCCCGGTGTGTGATGTTCCCCTTCCCAAGTCCAAGTGATCTCATTGTTCAGTTCCCACCTGTGAGTGAGAACATGCGGTGTTTTTTCTGTTCTTGTGATAGTTTGCTAAGAATGATGGTTTCCAGCTGCATCCATGTCCCTACAAAGGACACAAACTCATCCTTTTTTATGGCTGCATAGTATTCCATGGTGTATATGTGCCACATTTTCTTCATCCAGTCTGTCACTGATGGACATTTGGGTTGATTCCAAGTCTTTGCTCTTGTGAATAGTGCCGCAATAAACATGCGTGTGCATGTGTCTTTATAGCAGCATGATTTATAATCCTTTGGGTATATACCCAGTAATGGGATGGCTGGGTCATATGGTACATCTAGTTCTAGATCCTTGAGGAATCGCCATACTGTTTTCCATAATGGTTGAACTAGTTTACAATCCCACCAACAGTGTAAAAGTGTTCCTATTTCTCCACATCCTCTCCAGCACCTGTTGTTTCCTGACTTTTCAAAGGATATGAACAGACATTTCTCAAAAGAAGACATTCATACAGCCAACAGACACATGAAAAAAATGCTCATCATCACTGGCCATCAGAGAAATGCAAATCAAAACCACAATGAGATACCACCTCACACCAGTTAGAATGGCAATCATTAAAAAGTCAGGAAACAACAGGTGCTGGAGAGGATGTGGAGAAATAGGAACACTTACACTGTTGGTGGGATTAAATTGTCTATCCATTATGGAAAACAGTATGGCGATTCCTCATGATCTAGAACTAGATAAACATATGACCCAGCTTATCCCATTACTGGGTATATACTCAAAGATAAATCATGCTGCTATAAAAAGACACACATGCACACGCATGTTTATTGCACTATTCACAAGAGCAAAGACTTGGAATCAACCCAATGTCCATCAGTGACAGACTGGATGGAAGGAAAATGGGTACATATACACCATGGAATACTATGAACATAAAAGGATGAGTTTGTGTCCTTTGTAGGGATATGGATGCAGCTGAAACCATCATTCTTAGCAAAACTATCACAAGAACAGAAAAGGAAACACCGCATGTTCTCACTCACAGGTGGGAACTGAACAATGAGATCACTTGAACTTGGGAAGGGGAACATCACACACCAGGCCTGCACTATGGGAGCGGAGGGGGGAGGGATTGTACTGAGAGTTACACTGGATGGGGGCCGATGAGTTGATGGGTGCTGACGGCTGATGGGTGTTAATAACTAACATGGCACAAGCATACATGTAATAAACCTGCATGTTATGCACATGTACCCTAGAACTTAAAGTATAATAATAATAAATAAATAAATAAATAATAAATTTATTTAATGAATATAAATATTTCTGAGCATCCTGACTGATACAATCTGCCTCTATTTGTACAAGCAGTGATACTATGTAAGTTTTATTTAACGCCTTTCTTAGCTTCCAGGTTTTTCCTGGTAAATGGAGAACACCCCAATGTCGTTCTCTTTAATAAAGATATTCAAGGATAAAGGAAATAATCCATGCAAAGTTCTTAGTATGGTACCTAGCATACACAAATAATAAATGTTAGAGGTCATGGGTTATTGCTATTATTATGATAAATATTAAGTGTTGACTATTTTAAAGACATATGTGATAATTTTACCTTAAATCCAAAAATAATAAAGTTTTAAAAAATCTATCTTACACTCATAATCCCAGGAAGTTGGTTAAATACCATCCTACTCATATTCTAGGTGTTTTTCTCAATAGTTTTTTTTTGAGACAAAGTCTCATTCTGTCACCCAGGCTGGAGTTCTGTGGCACAATCTTGGCTCACTGCAACCTCCGCCTCCTGAGTTCAAGCAATTCTTGTGCCTCAGCCTCCTGAGTAGCTAGGATTACAGGCGCCACCACCACGCCTGGCTAATTTTTTTGTATTTTAGTAGAGACGGGGTTTCACCATGTTGGCCAGGTTATGTCAAACCTGACCTCAGGTGATCCACCCGCCCCGCCTCCTGTGCTGGGATTACAGGCGTGAGCCACCGCACCTGGTAAACAGAATCATTTTTACCAAGGCTCTTCTTAGTAGTGTCCTTGCCATACTTCACTAGCCAACTCTGTCAAACAGAGATTTAATAAACTCTGCCAAACAGAGATTTAATAGAAACATTTAGTGGGCCGCCAAAATAAAATATAAAAGGAAGAACATCAGCAATCTAAATATACTGACCTGTTTCACTACTAGTTTTCCAGAAAACTTCATTGTACAGATAATAACAACAAGGAATAACAAAAATAATTGTATGTCCACAAAACTTTAGGGGGAACATTTGTGATTTATAAACAACCAAATTTTAGTTTTAGTTGTACTACATTATCATAAACAATCATATTTGAGATGAAAATCTTCCCTTGGTAAGACTGAATAGAAAATAATGAAAGAAAACTTTTTAAAAGAACATATTACTTGTCTGTGTGTATATGCTTATATGCTTCTGCATAAAAAAAGAATGATACAACTTTTAATAAATAGGAAGAGTTGACTTAAAAGATTCTTTTTTAAAAAAGAGTCACTATACCTAAACACCAAGCAAGGCATATGAGAGACAGTAGACTAAAATACTTGCCTAACCGTATTTTGTATTATGTTGCATATTATTATAAAGTAGACATAACTTCCATTGTGAAGCATTGCAAAAGTTTAGATTTTCCCTTAAACTCTTCTGATGAAGAATTATTAAAGATTTCAGGAAAAATTTCAATTATCTTTTATATTTGTAAAGTATATTTTTAAATGACTTTTTAAATTTGTAGCCATTTTTTATTACCAACTATTATAATTAACTCATGAATTGTTATTTACTCTAATTTATTATAACTCACCTATGAGAAACTGCTCCCCAAGCACCATGTTTATTTGTGAGAATATTGAGAATCTTCTGTTTCAGCTGATTTGCTGTTACGTGGTCCTCGGCGTTTCAAAAAGTAGCACCGATCAGATGGTCACACATCTTTCTTCTCTTCTATCAGCAGCATACTGCCACACTGTGACTATAAAGAAAATACAAACGATGCACAATAATAAATTTTTACTGTATAAGTTAGACAGATATATACATCTGGGTTAAAGGGTAACAGGAATTCAATTTTTAAAACTCAAATAATGCAATCTTTTGATATTTGTTCTAAAGAATAAATATTGTCACCTTCAAATATAAAAAGCTTTTTCTAAAGTATATGTAAAATAATTCTGAATAATATTGAAGTAATTAAAGACTTCTGGTTTCTTCTAATTCTGAGAATCTAATTTTTATGTATTTTAGAAGCACAAATATTTACTATAAATGTAAAACCTACTGTTTATCAAGCCAATACAGTATATCTCACTTAAAATAAGAGGCATGTTGCTGATAATCATATATGAATCAAAAATCTGTCACTTAATTTATAGTCATTTCTGTATGAATGTAATGAGATAGAAGAAAAGGTAGTCATTTAGGAATTCAGTAGACCTGGATTTTAATTCACAAAATACACAAATCATAGTATATTTTAATTTACTCAGTTTCATATTTGTAAATGAGGAGCTGAGACAAGATTTTTTCTACGATCTCTCCACATTCTTAAAATGTAATATGTTCAAACAGTTTCATGAGAACTACCACTATTCTTACCCCTTTTCCATAGACTATCAGTTATCATGCTTAGCTATCTGACGCGTATTCATTCTTTACATTTACAATAACACTGTTGATCAATGGATCATTTTTGTATTAAAAATATTTGCGTAAATATGAAGAGGAACATTTCTTTAATTGTAAATTTGGTTCTTTTTATTGTAGTTTTTATAAAGAAAACTAATAAACGTGAGTAGGTGACTATAACTTTTAATATTTAATAAACTTGTAATACAAGTAATATAATTAGGAAGAAAAAAGTCTCATATATCTGATAAAATAAATAGAACTAGTTCACATTCATCATTACTATGCAAAAATCTATTTCATGGAAGGCACTTGAACATATTCCTCCCATTATCTATTGATATACATCATTACCACAAGTAATCTCTTCTGGAGAAATAACCCTACAGTAATCTACATATGATTAATTCATTTTCCAATTTATCTTTGTACAGGGAATCACCAATTAGTACAATGATTCGCCTCAGTAATGAGCTTAATATTTCATTAGTTCACTGGAGAGTAAAATTAAATTTTCATTTTTCTTCCTTAACAATTACAGTAGCTAACTAAAAAAACTTAACTGTGAAGTACCCATCTAAAATCAAATATACTTTTCTTCCTAATTATAGGCTGGGATATGTGATAGAAAATTCCTCAAAAGTTCTAGCAAAATGTCCTGACTTGTAAATCTTTTACAATTTAAAAGGATATCTTTGTGTAACCACGCACACACATCAACAGCTCTAACCCAAAAGAAGAGATAGAAACATTCAGGTTAAAAAAATAAGGTACAATCATCAAATAACATTGGCATACAATCAAAATTAGATTTACATTAATATTATATTTAGTATATAAAATCTAAAAAACACTAAGTCTTCATGTTCCCTCGAAACCTCTTATCAGCCTTTGGGAGTTGACCTACAATGAGGGTAATCTCATTCCTAAGAGTGAAAAATTGGTGTGTGTTGCGTGGGGATAAATAAGTTATTTCAGTACATAAAGCACAAATGTACGTAAGTACAAAACAGATGCAAGAGGCCTATGTAAGTGTATTATAAAATTTCTTTGGGATGACTGGCCAATTAGGCAAAATGTCTAAAAGGACTCCTTAGGGAATCAATAACAACAACAAAAACGGTTGAGAAACTGCCTCTGGTCTAATGTCACCTTGGTTAAACATGTAAGTAAAGCCCATAACTAATATCCAACCACTTGAAAACCTACTTTAAATGTTTCCACATAACAAATATTGATCTGCTTATATCCCCACAAAATATCTTGATTTTCTTAGTGGAAGTACAGAGACTAAAACTGATCCTGCAGGGATTCAGTTGAGATTCCAAATCTATTTACTACTAATAAACTTCACTTGATAGAGACACTTAAAGATCACTATACTTTTATTGAAGTTTAAAATATCTGGTATCTTTTCCAGAATATGGTTGTTGCAATTTCACAAGACAAGTGTTTGCTTGTTCCCAGGTTTCTTCTGACCGAATGAAGCAGAGGTCGTGTGTTTGAAAGCAACAGCGGCTATTTTCCTGTCTCATGCTTTTCAGCTAGCTAGGTCAGAGATCACTAGACACAGTCTATCAACGTATGACTCCACAGAGCTGCTTTACTGAGATAAAACCTCATCAAAACTAGAATTGTGGCTCTGGATTTAGCCACACCATACTTGTTAGCCTGTTGTATCAGGAGAATAAATTCAGTCATTTATTACTTTCAAGCCCAACGAAGTTTCAAATACCCAGGGCTACTAAATATTTCTGGAACCTATTTTGTCTTGTAAATGGAATAAACTGAAATAATTAATAACTGTTATACATAAAACATAGAAATTGAAAGATTTTTTTGAATGTTATATGAGTTTATTCATATAACTTATCGATATAATTTATGAATGCATCTATTGCGTGTAAATATCTGCTAGCTTAAAATAACTAAAATTGTTGCATTGTAAATTATTTTTTGCATTTACTCTTGAGTAGGTTAGAATAACTTCAGTCTACCAAATGGTTAGTGGCACATACAGGCAGAAGGAATGTTTTCATGCTGTAAATGGGGTGAAAATAAATTAGTACTCTGTGTTTGACATTTACTAAAAGTGAAAAACAGAACAGAAAATGCCTTCCAGTGAAATTTTCCTTTTTAAAAACATTCTTATGTAAGGTCACAGATAGGTGATTTTTGGCTTATAACAGAAATGCAGAATTTAGTGTACTCCCAAAACCTACCTCAAACTCTGCATGTTTAAGTACATCTTTCGCTCTTCTGTCTGTTCAAAATAAAACTCAGCTTCATTTGCAATAATTTAACTATATGGTCCTTCATGCATGGTACAGTAATCTAAAAAGAAAATACCTTAGAAATATTATTCTTAATAGCTTTGGTTAGTCCAATTTTTTTCAATAATCAGATTGCAATATTTCAAATATATATGTTTTAGATAAAGCTAGATATAAAATTAATATATTTTAAATTATGATTCAATAAAATGTGAACATAGAAAGATGTCATAAAAACTGTTGTACTAATTCCTCTGTTGAATAGTATGTCTTGTGAATCAGCAACTCAAGAATCAATTAAGATAGGTTACTAAAAATAAAAAATTCTGGTTGGGAGTGTTTTAAAATGGTTATGCAACAGAACTCACTATCTTAGAGGTAATTTTTCACAGATAAGTTCAATGACCACACTTTAGGAAATCAATAGATTCTTACTTTATTTTTTTTTTTACATTGTACCTTAATAAAATTTTTAAAAATATAGGATACCCAGTTAAATTTGAATTTCAGATAAACCATGTAGATTCTTACTTTAAATAATGCAGAATGATAGGACTAAATGACATCTAAATTCTTTTAAATGCTGAGATTCCAAATTCTAATATGGAACTACAGTTAAAGTTCAACCATAGAACCGAATTTTTTAACTACAGAAGTTACTTTTTGAGAAGATTCGAATTAGTTTTAAATGTGTAGCAACATTTACAGTGAAAAGTCACTATGACTCTAGCTTCAAATTTTCAACCTCAACAGATACCCACTGTTATGCCTGGGTGTGTTTCAGACTTTAAAATATACAAATAAATACAAAATATATCTTTTCCTCACTTCCTAACACTGATAATTAGTAGTACGTTATACAGTCTGTTTTTTACCCAGCTTTTCTCACATAGCAATGTATCTTTGATATCTTTCACATGTACACACAGGGAGCTTCTTCTAACTTCTTTTGTAACACGTGGCAGAGATTACTTCCAAAGATGGCTGCAACAACATTTCTCATCCCACATGCCTTCTTTGCCGTGTGACTTGTTGCCATTAAAAAAATGGAGACTTTGCTACTCCTTGTTGATCTGGTTTGCCTGTGACTTCCTGTGAGCCACAGAATACAGCAGAAGTGATGCTATGCGACTCCTGAGGCTAGGACTAAGATGCCAGGCAGCTTTTGGATATTTTTGAACTTCTCTGGACTCTGCTGCTCCACTGAGAGAAGCCTACATGACATGGAGCACGTTGAAGAGCACAGAGTGCCGGCTCTCAGGCCTAGGTGATGAGGTCCACCCAAAGTAAGTCACATTCAGAGACTGCAGACTCAGACAGCTCCACATGGAGCTAGAGAGAACTGCTTAGCTGAGCCCAGGCAATGAGAATCATGAGAAAGAAAAAAACTGATTACTGGTTTAAGCCACATGATGATGATGATGATGAGAGATAGAGGAGGAGGAAGAGGAGGAAGAGGAGGGGAAGATAATATTGATTATAACAATTAATATCATTTTGTTTTTCACTGTGTCAATTAAAAACAATGATTTGACCTTTTTAGTCTTCTCAATTTTTTTTTGGCAAAAAGTAATTACTGTATGTTAAAACACACACACACACACACACACAAATAATATTTAAAAAGCTACCTCAAGTCTTTCCGGCTTTCTCTTAAAGGGGAAGCTTAAGAAGTAGTTTCAGTTCCTTTTATCTATGTCCTTTTAAATTTCATTCTAACCCTATATTCCTTCATTGTACAAAGCTTCTGGGGATTTTAATCAGAAGTACTATTTCAATAACACATTACCTATTCTTCCGCCCAATAAATTTAAAATACATCAACCTTTTTTTTTTGCTCAAGTTTTCATAAATATAAATCAGATGGGAATAGATTTAACTTTGTTTTAATTTCTTGTACTACTAAATACTGAGTCCTAGTAATTCTTCTATATTCTTCACTATATCATGTCTTAATCAGGCAAACTTTCTTCTTTACTGACACATAAATATAAGCAGAAGA